TTAAAACTTGAACTTGAAATTTTGTCTGATATTGCTCAAAACAAAATGTAAATCAACCGGATCCCTTATGAGCATTCCCTTCAAAACTCCAGTTTTCCTTTTCCCTACATTGTTTTTCTTTTGTATTCTCATATTTTTCGTGACAAAGATAGTTTTTCTTAGAAATAGATTAATGATATTGTTCATCAACTGATACAAGACTTCAAGTTCTCTTGAAAAGAGTGAGCCCCACAGATTTTCTTTGAAGAAATGTGAATTTATTCACATGTTTAATTCACTGTCCTATTCGTGGCTGATACATGTATAGAATATAGTTCCATTATTCACGAGGAGAAAAAAAATTGAGGCAAAGTCATCTAGGTACACCTGATACAAAAATTAGCTTCCAGGTCTGCGCAATTTACAAGCCCTTGAGTTCAAACATTCTTTCTATCACATGCCTACGACTGGATACAACACAATAAATTTATCTCTATAAGATATATTTGAGATACATGAAAAAAGTAATTGTAAGCTTTCTGTACAGTTTGCAGAACCGAAAAAATAAAACTGTTAAGGAAATAAAAATAGGCTACTCGTATCAGAGTAGAGGAGACTGAATAAAATGGGAATTGTATAAGATATATCTGAGATACATTAAAAAATTAATTTTTAGCTTTATGTACAGTTTGCACAGCCGAAAAAGTAAAACTGTAGAGGAAATGAAAAACAGTCTACTTCTATTAGGTTACAGGGGACTAATTAAAGTGGCAATTTGTTGCTTGCAAAATGTGATATAAAAATAAAAGTGCATTTTGAGATCTTAACATGAAATCGAGGAGCTACAAAAATATACCTATTCTAAACTACTCGGTCTTCTTGTTTGGCCCGATGTAAACGGAGTAGATTACGAATTTCCAAAATGGAAAGTACTATTGCTATGCCATTCTTGGCAATGAAGATCAACTCGTCTTTGCCAAACATAAAGAACACCACCGCACGAATAATCAAGAATGGTAGATTTACGAAAGCTATTTGAACAATATTGCGGCATAATGCGGTACGGATACGAATTTCCGGCCCCTCTCCGGTAAGTTTGATTTCTACCATTTGCCAAGGAGATTCCAATATACTGAGGCAAGCTAACACGATCATTGCTGTACTGAAAGCTTTGGGTATTCCAAACTCGTGCTCTCTTTCTTCTAACACGATATCTATCATCTCGATTCCATCGAACAGATCGACGGCCATGGGAAAACACAACTTGGAAACAATCTCTCTTTCTTCGTTGTCTGAATCATCGAGATCGCCTGTGTTTAGCAACAGTAGTAGCAGAAGTGGTGTAATGCACAGAACCATCTTCAATACATTTGGTCCTAAAAACTCGGTCTTGTCGATTCTATCTCCGACTTTTCCAAATACCATTGCGATGTTTACAACCAAAGCCATAATATACAGGCCCCAAATTCGAAAGAGGCAACCAAGGTACAGCGCTTTGAAAATTAGAAGAAGAACCCAAACAAAAACTGCTGGGCCAAAGGAAAAGGCCATAAAATACCAATTGGATGTGCCTTCATACTTCCCGAGGTAAGCAGATAAAAACATGCTCTGTGTAGTCATCAGACAAAAGAAAGCCAATCGTCCGAGCCATATTATAAACGAAGCCATTATTTTATGTATGAAAGCTGTCTGAAACTGGAAGAGGCAAATTGTGCTGACTAATGCAATAGGAATTGATACCGTATATTTGCATGAAAAATTAAGCAGCGAATGAAATAACGCCACAAAGATCTTGATCAAATGATGCTAAAGGGAATTACCCCAATATTTCAGAAGGTCACATGCAAAGACTGATTGCATAAGTAATTTGGTCACTGCTGGGGACTTGATATTCC